CTCCTGCTGTTCTGTGTATACAGACAGTGTCTCCTCTCGTCCCTGGGCCTCCTTGAAGCCTACCACGAGAACAGGCCCTAGCTGGCACCCCAGTTCCAGATCAAGGAGACACATGGAATGAACCAAACCCGACTCGGGGCTGAACTGTGTCCACTCAAATTCTCGGGTTGAAGTTCTAACCCCAGAACTGGAGAATGTAACTGTGTAGTAGCCCCTGGTGTCTGCAGGTCTGTGGTTCCAAGGAGACCTCTGTCAAGGAAAAATTGAGAATATTCAGGTTGTGTGGAGCTCAGTGCTGTGCTGCAGTCTTGATTCATTTTTCCCATAATGTCACCCACAAACTTCATGGGCTGATTTTTCACTTTATCACTCCAATTGAGCACATTCACTTTTACCATTCGCTGTTGGGAAGGCAGATTTTTACAAAATTGGGGACAGAGAAACATCACCCAAGGATTTCAACAGAACTGACCATGATGCGGGATTGACAACTTCTCAACACTGAGCTGTGATACACACGGGAATTTAAGATTCTTGTTTTTGAAATTTTTTTGCCTTTTTAAATTTTATTACATAACATTTTTATTGCACTTGGTTAAAACCACATGCAGTAAATCTGTCAGTGAGGTGGGCTTACTGTATTTGGAAACAGGACCTTTAAGAAAAGGTGGTGGTAGCCAGGCGCCAGTCAGTGGCTCACACCTGTAATCCTGGCTACTCAGGAGGATCGCAGTTCAAAGCTAGCCTGAGCTATCTCAAAAATCCCATCATAAAAAAAGGGCTGGTGGAGTGCTCACGGTGTAGACCCTGAGTTCAAACCCCAGTACTGCAAAAAATTAAAAGTCAGAGTGGTAGAGCACTTGCCTAGCAAGTGTGAGGCCCTGAGTTCAAACCCCAGTACCACTAAAAAAAAAATTAAAATCGAAAAAAGGTGGCTAAGTTCCAATGACACTGTTGAGGAGAGCTCTAATTCAATCTGCCTGGTCTCCTTATCACAAGCAGACTGGGGTTCACAAAGCAATACCAAGGGTGCTCACTTACACAGGAAAGACCCTGGGAGGACATAGCAGAGAAGCCACCATCTGCCAGTCAAGGAGAGAGGCCTCAGGAGAAACCAGCTGTGTGGACACCTTGATCTTGGGACTTCTCAACTCCAGAATAAATCTTTACTGTGTAAGCCACCTGGTCTATGGATTACTGTTACAACTGCTCTAACAATTGAAGCCAGCCACCCAGAGCCTAGAACCAAACCTGCTGGATCCCTGCAGTCCCCTGAAACACACAAACAAATGCTTAAAGCTCTAAGTCACTGAGTTTGGGGGTTGTCTATTATACAGCTTTTGTGGTTGTTGTTTGGTTTGGTTTTTGCAGTGCTGGAGAGCAAACCCAGGGCCTCACATGTGCTAGGCAGGTACTCTACCACTGAGCGACAACCCCAGCCCTGCAGGGAAAACTAAACAGTACCACATCTGCTTTTAGTGGGCCAGTTTTGACAATTTCCTTTGTGGCCCAGATCAACAAGAATTCTTAGTAAAGTGTCAATCTAAACAAATTTTCCTGACTGCATATTTACCATGTCAAGGTCAAAACAAGGGGGCTGCAAGGTAAGGTACCACTGAAACAAAGTTTCTCCACACCCTCCCCCCTTTATTAAATCTTGAGACAGGATCTCACTATGTAACCCAGGCTGGCTTTGAACTCATGATCCCCCTGTCTCTGCCTGCCGAGTGCTGGGATTACAGGCACGTACCACCCAGCTACGTGCAGAAGAAAAAGCTGCCTTCTGAGATAAGTTAATGTTCTAGACTCCTATACTCTGTTCCTAACAACCCTACTCCCCCAGATCCTTCTTTCCCTGCTTTCCCCCAAACCTGTCTCTTCGGTAGGGGCAGCAGAGCCTTTGGGGCCCTGTGCAGATCTCCCACTCCTCGCCTTCCCTGGCCCATCTCTTCCTTTTCCCCTGGCTCCTCTGTCATGCCATGGTCCTCACTACCACTGGGCCTTTGCACATGGTTTTCTTCTACCTAGAATGCTGTCCCACCACCTCTTTCACCTACTTTATATCCAGTCATCTTTTATATTTCAGAATGAAGGACAATTCCTCAGGGAAGCCCTCCAGACTAGGTCTGATCCCCAATTAGTCAGTCACTGTGCATCTCTTCTTGTCACTCATTTGTGCTATCCCAGCGTGACCATCTGATTAATGTCCCTTTTCCCATTCCAGCTTTGCAGATTCACAGGGATCAGAATTCACAAACCCGGAATGAGGTCTTATTCACTCTGTCCGTAGAGCCTGGAATATAGTGGGTGCATAATTAATATTTGTTGATTGGATGAATATTTTTTATTGCTTCTGCCCCGCTAAATCGTTCCAGTAGCACCTAGGGCGTCGGATCTGTCTTCAAAAGGGTAGTTGCGTGGCCACCACTGATTTCGGCATGTGCATAAGTCAACTCTGAACCCAAGGCCTGGTGCTTGCTATGCAAGTGCTCTACCTCTTGAGCTGCGGCCCCAGCAAAGGACTGACCAGCAGGTAACTAGGGATGGGGCAATTTTGCCCCGATGTAGCACTCCCCCAAAGAGTATTGTGTGCTCTGGAGCTCCCACTGGTCCCATCCATTTCCCATAGGTGCTGGGCAGGTTTTCACTTTGCTGCCTCTCAGCTTCAAATCCACTCCTCACTTTGGGAGGGAGGCAGGAGGACCACAGATTTGAGGCCAGCCTGGAGGACACAGAGAGACACTGCGTCAAAGAGAAAAGTTGTCTCTGCAGTACCTGCTCTGCCTTCTGGAGGTGAGACGTGTTGAGTATTGTCCCCTCTCGGGAGCTGCCGAGGGAACACTGCTGGAGGAAAAGGGGGTTGTCTCTGGGGAGTGTGCGTGTCTTGCTCTGTGATTGGCTAGCCATGTAAGTTTGAGACCATCTAAGTGTTGATCTCCCCAGTCCCCAGCCCTGCATGTAGCTATCAGCGCTCTGTTCCCTCCCATCCCTCCGGTGCTGCAACCCTCTTGATGCAGATGTCGCTCATGTTAGGCCTCCCATCTGCAAATGTCCCCCAATCCTATCTGCCCACTGGCCATTTAGGGCTGCATCTTGCTTGACTGAGGAGCAGCTGTGGCTCAGACACCCACCCAACTTCTCAGCACCCAGAGGGCTGCAACCTAACCTTCTATGAGGTCTGGACCACAGCTTGGGGAGGGCACCACGCCTTCCAAGTTTACAATTCCTTGGGGACTTCGCCTGTGTCTTTATAGTTACCCTCTTTTTTTTTCCCGTGGTACTGGGGTTTGAACTCAGGGCCTCACTCTTGCTAGGCAGGTGCTCTACCACCTGAGCCATGGCTCCAGCTCTATAGTTACCTTCTTGTGTAAACTTGACAATTCTTCATATTAAGTAGCGCCTGTTTAAATCACTGTGTGGTTTTCTTCTCTTGACTGGACTCAGACCCGGATGCCCTGAAGCCTGAGGCTGCCCCTCACCTCCTTCCCTCCCTCTCCCCTGCCCCTCACATTGTCCCCCCAAAAATCTCTCTACATGATTAATTCCTTCTCAGCATGTGCTTCCCAGAGGCTCCAAAATGATGAAGCTTCCCATCACACTAGGAATGAAATCCTGAGGGACACCGTACACTCTGCTCCCCACCCCAAACCCACATCCCCTGGCCTCCAGGCTACCCTTCTCCAGTCACAGTGGCCTCCTCAAAGTTCCCCAGACACAAACCAGAGCCCCACTTCAAGGTCTTTGCACTCAATGTTCCCTTTGGTGTGTTTTCTTTCTTTTGTTTTGTTTTGTTTTTGCGGTGCTGAGGATGGAACCCGGGGCCTCAGATGCTAGGCAAGCGCTCTACCTCTGAACTGCACACCCCAACCCCATCCATCTTTAATTCAAAGCTCCTTACCTTATTTCACTTGCCCAACTCTCTTTGGAAGTGCTGTCTCCTCTAAGAGGCTTCCCTTCTGCCCCAGGCCTCTTTGTAACTTTGTCCCTTTGTCCTGCTGTGTTTCATTTTGCCATGTGACACTTTTTTTTTCGCCAGTTCTGGGTTTGAACGCAGGGTCTCATGCTTACTAGGCAGGCACTCTACCACTTGAGCCACTCTGCCAGCCCTGACACACTTTTTTTTTTTTTTGCAGTACTGGGGTTTGAGAGCTTGTTTGGAGGTTCTAGCAGGGGAGCGCAGCTACTCATATACCTTTGACCAAAGAACGGTCCTCCTCTATCAGGGATGGTCATCTTCTTGGACCGAGTGTGCAGCTTAGGGGAGGGACGCACATGGAGCGGTGAGGAAGGAAGGGGACACCTGCCTAGCCAGCCAGATCAGCCGCATCAACCCTGGCAATCAATGGAGTGACAGATGTCACAACCAGATCACCCTCACATCCCAGTTCTGGGGTTTGAACTCAGGGCCTAAACCTTGAGCCACTTCACCAACCCTTTTTTTGTGAAAGGTTTTTTTGAGATGAGGTCTCGTGGAACTATTTGCCCAGGCTGGCTTCGAACTGTGGCATGAGCCACCAGCACAGGGCCTTTTTTTTCTTTAATCGTTTTTATGTTTACTTACATGTGTATATTATTTGGGCCACCTCCTGACACACTCTTTATTGAAGTTATTTATTCATTTTCCTACCTCCTTCATAGAAGAATTTCACCTCCATGTGGGCTGTCTTGTTCACCGCTGCTTCCCCAGGTCCTGGATTATACCTCATACATAGTATGTGCTCAGTAAATATTTGTTAATTGACTGAATGGTGGGGTTTTGGGGGCGGGCAGGGCTTGCCTTTGCCATTCACTCCACTGCAATTCCTTCCTTCCTCCTTCCTGCCTTTCCCAACCCCAGCTAAGTCCCAGCCCCAGTCCTCACTCCTCCAGGAAGCCTTCCATGATCAGCTGGGATCTGGTCCCAGGAAGGTGTTCGCTCTTCCCCATCTCCTTCAGTAACTAGTTTGAGGTGCCAGGGATGGTCCAAAGGGAAGGTTAAAAGCATAAGAGAACAGGCCAGCTTTATTGTCATGGAGGGGACAGCACAGGCTCTGGATCAGGGTGGCCCTGCCGGGGAAGCGGTGCGTCACTTCTTCCACTCCTTCTTCTCATAGTCCCAGCGGGAGGCCAGGCCTTGCACAGGGTTGGCCTTCATGTCCAGGATACGCTGGAGCTGCTGGGCCTTCCGCTCGTCAGTCAGGGTGACGGGCTTCTCAGGGAGCACTGCAGGGAGGGCGCAGGGTGAGCACAGGCCCCCCGCAAGTGATGGCCTGCAGCCACAAGGCCAGCGTGGCCCGTGCTGCGGGACTCCCCGTCTGGCCCCCACCGGCTCTGTCCTGGGACACTGCCCCAGGGACCTCTGGGTTCTGACCCTAGCCTTGCCTTAGACTCATTGTACAAGCTGAGTCTGTGTCCTTCCTTCCTCTGAGCCTCAGTTTCCTCACCGTCTTTGTGGCCAATGGTAGTGTTAGCATTGGCAGCGACATAGGCAGGAGCAGGACTGGGGAAATGCCCCAGGCCACAAGATTCCATTCTAAAATCCTGGGCCAATGGTGGCCCTATAGCCTTCTTATCAAGGTCAGGCCCATGACTTGAGAGCATAATGACTGACACATGACCTTCCACTGACAGGCTAAAATGGTACGGGCAAAGAGGACAAAAGGGACAGGCAGGCTGCCTTCCCATACCTGGGCAGCCACTGAGCAATCTTCAAACCATTTGGCCAGGGGCCACAAGGGGAGGGCCTCAGTTTCACAACACCTAGTAACCCTAACTCTATTGGAAAAAACCCAAGCCCTGGACTGGCAGAGTGGCTCAAGTGGTAGAGTACCTGCCTACCAAGCATGGCCCTGAGTTCAAAGCCCAGTTGCCAAAAAAAAAAAAAACAAAACAAAATAAAAAAAACCCAAGTTCCGACAGCTTCCAGACAGTTGGTCCTTATCCACCTGCCCCCCTCCCCCCACACACCCATGCCCTTTTGCTTTGCTAATAAATCAGTCTATCTTCCTACTCTGCCTGGTCCCTTCACTGCACCTGGGGCACCGTCCTAATCTTAGACATTGTCCCCAAGAACTGAGGAACATCTGGAACACCATAGCCACAGGTAACAGTAGTATAGGAGCACTGATTTGAAGACCAAATTCCAGCTCCACCACTCCCTTACTGTGTGGCCTTGAGCAAGTCACTTCACCTCTCTGAGCCTCAGATTCCTTACCTGTCAAAAGTAGGCCCTATTCACAAGGGTTGTGGGAATGGAGTGAGCTGGTACTTGTAAAGCTATAAGCAACTGTTGAGCAGGTATGAACAGCTAACTACATGTTATCCACTATAATTATTGAGTTTGTTCCTATTCACTCAGAAGGTCCAGGGTGAGATAGCTCCTCATTTCCTAAGGTGAGCAGGGGTAGAAGGTAGTGAGTGCTTACTTTAAAAATCAGGGGAGAGCAACACTTAACCCGAAGAGTTAAGGGAAGGATTTGAGGGGGGCCTGATGTGTAAACCAGGGAAGGTTTGAGGGCTGGAGCCTGCCTGGCTTCCATCCCTGATAGCTTCTATCCTAAGGGTGGGCAGGAAGGGCACCTGTGATGTGCTAAAGACTGAGAAAAGACTTAGCTGTTTGCCAAAGGCGGTCTCATTCCATCCTCATGGAAGGCAGGAATTCCCATCCAGCTTTTTACAGAAGAAACATGACAAGACCCCTAGAAGTGAAGCCTGCTGAACCAGTTCTTTCTCAATGGACTCTCTACTTCTTCCAGAGAAGGGGTTCTCTGACCTGAGTGAACATCAGAATAAGCCAGGGAGCTGTCAAAACAAAAACTGTGGGCTGCAGTGCAGTGATAGAGCCCCTCCATTGCATGTGCGAGGCCCCGAGTTCCATCCCTAGTGGAGATGGAGAAGGAAGGGAGTGGGAATTGCTGGGCTCCACTACAGTGTGTCTGATTCAGATTTGTGGTGGGTCTGAGTATCAGCATTTCTGACAAGTTCCCAGGTGATGCTGTTTGTCCAGGGACCACACTTTGAGAATCATTCTTCTGAGATTAAAAAAAAAAAAAAGCTCAGCTGGACATGTGATAACCAGCAAAAGACTACATTTCCCAGACTCCCTTGTAGCCGGGCATGGTCATGTGATCACATATAGCCAACAGGATAGGAGCAGAAGTGGCAGGAACTGTAGCAGCCATCTTACATGTCAAAATGAAAGCTACATGTTCAGGCTGGCAGATCAATGAGACAGGAGCCTGGGTTGTGGAGTTCCCATAGTTATCTGGATTATTTCTCTGGCCTCTTTTTTTTTTTTTTGTGAGAAAAACTGTAATTCCAGCACTCAGAGGCTGAGGCTGAAAGATCATGAGTTTGAGGCCTACCTGGGTACATAGTAAAACCCTGTCTTTTTTTTTTTTTTTTAAAGGTACTGAAGTTTGAACTCAGGGCCTAAACCTTGAGCCACTCCACAAGCCATTTTTGCGAAGGGTTTTTTTGAAATAGGGTCTCAAGAACTATTTGCCCAGGCTGGCTTAGAACCGTGATCCTCGTGATTTCTGCCTCCTGAGTAGCTAGGATTACAGTGTGAGCCACTGGCACCCAGTTGTTTAAGCTCTTATATGTTGGCAATTTGTTGTCACAGCAGCTGCATCAATATGCTAGAAAATACATGCTTAAGACCTAACAGCCAATAGCAACACCATTGACGCCTATGTGCCAAGCACTGAACTACAGCCCTCTTCTTAAATCCTCACAAGAGCCCTGAGACGCAGCATTTTTATTCCCAATGTGCAGATGAGGAAACTGAGGGCCAGAGCGGTAGACACCCATTTTAAGCCAGGATTGGAATGTTCGGCTCCATCTCTTTGGAGACATTTCAGAACTCTTATGGTTCCCTTAGGAGCTTGGCCAGTCGCTGTGGCCTCAGAGCATGATCCAGGCCTGCTGCCAGGGCCTGTGCAATCACTCACCATAGACCCGCTGCCACCAGATCATCAAAGCAGTGAGTCCACAGAAAAAGAAGACACAGCCCATCACCGTCTTCCACTCGTTGGAGTGGCGATTCATCTCCGCAAAGGTCTGGTGGAACTGGAGCCGGTACACTGGAGGGAGGTGGGTATGGGGAAGGAACCTCAGGTGCATCCACTCTGAAGACAGGACCCCCAAGACCCCCGGATTCCCCCTCTCTACAGCAGATGCTGGTCATCCAGCCGATTCTGACTGAGCATGTACTGTGGGCAAAGCATAGCCAGGAACTGGGGACATGGCAGTGACAAGCCAGAGGAAAATGGCTTCTGTCATAGAGCTTAGAGGGGGAGACAGATGGCAAATGCTTCAGACAGACTGGGGGGTTACCTTAGGTAGGTTGCGGAAGGTCTCTCAGAGGAGGTAAATTTGAAGCTGAGGCTTAGAAAATCAAAGGAGAAAGTCAAATGAAAACTAAAGCAAGTCCAAAGGCCCTGAGGCCTGAAGGCTAGGAAAGGAGTGCGTGAAGGGCAGTGTGCCAAAGTGGAATGAACAAAAAAAAGAAAGTGTATTAATGATGTGTCAGTGGGAGCTGATCCCACAGGACCTTGCCAGCTAAGGGGAGGAGGAATTGGGGTTTCACTCTAACTGAACTAGTCAGGGTGGATTTTAGGCAAGGGGAGCACAAAACTGTGCTTCTGTGTGACTCAAACTTTTATCAAGACTGTCCCCTGACCTTCACTTCCCTTGCACTAAGTAGCATTTTTATTCATCTGCTTTCTTATTTCCTGCTTATCTTTCACCTGGACTCTACGTGTCAGGGGAACAAGGACTCTATTCATTGCTACATTCCCAGCACCTAGATCAGTGTGGCACTTGAGGGACCCAAAAAAAAAAAAAAAGAGGCCTGGGGTAAATCACTTGCCTAGCATGTGCAAGGCCCTGGGTTCAATCCCCAGTGTCAAGGTATTTTAAAATATAAAATTTTGTTTGTTTATTTGAGACAGGGTCTTGCTGTGTAGTCCAGGCTGTCCTCAAACTCACAATTCTCTTGCCTCAGCCTCTCAAGGGCTGAGATTACAGGTGTGTACCACCCACCGCACCTGCTTAAAACTTTTATTTTTGCTTAAAATGTGCACCTTGAAAATGCAGTCACAGTCACGGACCTGGCACTGTTGTGAGGAGGCAGACAAGCTGGGGCTGACATGCTGCTCAGTAGTGACATTTTAGCTTTTAGACCAGCAGCATCAAAAAGTGAAAAAAGCAAAGCGTAGAAAAGGAGGAACAAGGAAATATTGCATGTCAGGCCTGGTGAAGTCTGGAAATTAACTATGTAAAAGAAAACATGGAAGCAGAATTCCTTGGGGAGAGGAACCGTCTTGGGTTGGGCAGTTCAGGCTGAGACAGTGAACCATAGAAGGAGTCTGAATCTTCACAGAGGATGGGAGCTTGGGTGCAAGGGGCCCTGGGAGCGGTAAAGTGGTAAAGAATGAGGAGGCCAAGCCAGCCGGGAGAGAGGTCAAGGGCTGAGCGCCGCCATGTCTAGTGGTCAAAGTTGTTTGTTGAGCTCTGACACAGCCTGTAAGTCACCCACGGCCTTGTGCAGAACAAGTGCTCGCAGCTAAAGATGAAGGCCTTCATGCACGCGGGCGTCACACCCTGCCTCCACCTCCAGGAGCCACAGGTGCAGGTGAGTGTGCAGGGAGAGTGGGGGTTACAGTACTGCCACCTGCTTTGGGGCAATGAGGGGAGCGGGGGAATGTGTGTTTCTGAAATGGGAGAGACAGACATAGACAAGAAACCAAGGGGAGAGGGCCAGGTGTGAGTTTACAGGGCAAAAGTGGAGCCTGGCTTGCTCCCAGCCATGTTCCAGTGTCTGGCCTTGTACTAGGTGCTCAATGAGGTGCTGAATGAATGAATGACTGAATGAGAACCCCTGAAAGCTGGAGGCCACCTGGCTCCTCATTGGTGGATTGAGACTGAGAGGCTCCAAATACCTGAGGTCAGCCCAGGACCACACAGCCCCGCTGTCCACCTGCCCCCTTCATCTGTTTCCCAGTGGAGATGCCAGGACACTCCACACTGCCAGCTGTGACATCCTTCTCTGTGCTGCCCCCTCCGCCTGCCCTCACCTCTCCACCCTCAAGGCCTCTGGCAGGTGCACCAGGAGGTCTTGACAGCCCCTTGGATACATCCCACCTTGACCACACATCCTGCATTACAGCTCCTGGGGCCAGTGGCCCACGGGACTAGGAGCACAGTGCAGGCAGAAACCGTCCAGGTAATCCACCTCGTGTCCCCAGAGAGCCCCACTCCGCGCCTACATGCCACCTTCTCGTCGCGGCTCAGCTGGGCCCAGCTGCCCTTCTCCTTCTCCTTCAGGGCCCGCTGCTCGGCACTGAGGTCAGTGCAGAAGGGTTCGTCAGGCATGGGTAGGAACGCTGGGCATAGTAGCTGGTGTACGGGGTCATCTTCCCTGGACCACGAGCTGCAGACACAAAGAAGGGTGGTGGGTCCAGGTCACCTGGGACATCCTGCATTTAACCATAATATTAATACAATGGGCTACACTTATTGAGCACTTACTGTGTACCAGGAGCCAGTTTAAGGCTTTCAGGTGACTTGGCTCATTGGTTCCGCATCACTCCGAGCTGAGTGATATGTCATCTTCATTTGGCAAATGAAGATACTGAGCTGCTAAATGGCTTGCTGAAATTCACAGCAAGAAAAAGCAGGGCTAAGGCCTGGCTTCAAATCTTGTATTCTCTGGGAAGATCTATGCCGAGAAGGTCATGGCACACAGAAGCCAGGGGTAAGCGAAGGCTAAGAGGCAGGAAGCTCAGATGCAAACTGTAAAGCACCCTGTACATGCCCTAATGAGGGATCAAGGACATGACCTTGGAGTCACCTGGGTCCAAACCAGTCTCCAACAAGCCCCTTTACCTTGCTGTACCTCAAAATCCTCTTGTGGAAAGTGGGACTAATGAGAAAGCCTACCTCACAGGCCTGTTGGAAACTTCCAGATAATGTACTCACAAGGCTTCACACAGTCCCCGGCTCACAGGAGCTGGTCAGTAAATCACATATTTACAGCGGCGGGTTTACCTCTGGTTTCTTTCTAGAGCCTTTTCCTGAGGGCTAAGCCTCAGGGCTCTTTGCAGGTGTCTAGGGCGGTTCTGAATAAAGACTTGTGTTTATTGACACCAATGGCCCACAGGAGGGCACAGGTACCACCTGAAGGAGACAGCGTTGAAATGGCCTTGGGCAAAGAGTCTTGGCTCTTCTCATCTGGGGCTCATTTGTTTATCTGAGTAACAGACATGGCACGGCTGTCATGAGGTCTAGGTGTGAGTCTAAGCCAAGTGTCTCCCACAGCTTGGGGAACCTAGGAAGGGCCCCAGGCTCCATAAGTATATCTTTGTTTGATTTTGTTCCCTGAAGATCAAGAAGGTCCTCTTTTTTTGGTGGTTTGGGATTTGAACTCAGGACCTTAAGCTTACTAGGCAGGCCCTCTACTACTTTTTTGCTCAACCCTTTTGCTTTTATTTTTTGAACAGAGTCTCACTTTTCTGTCCAGGGCAGCCTGCACTACGATCCTTCCATTTATGCCTTCTACATAACTGGATTGATGGCACTTACCACTATGCTCAGCTTTAATGGTTGAGATGGGTTCTCTCTAGCTTTTGCCAGGGCTGGCCTGGAACCTCAGTCCTCCTGATCTCTGCCTCCCAAGTAGCTGGGAATATAGGTATGAGCCTGTATTCCCAGCTCGCCTGACTTAGATCCGTCTGCTATCTGGCTGAAGTCTCTTCTGCTTTAGGTCTCTTCCTTCTGACTAGCACTGACACCAAGGTCTGGAAAAGAGGATTCAGGGTCCATGGTCCTATAGCCCCCTCCACCTCAGGACGTAAAGACCTAAGGATTGAGGATAACGCCCTGAGGAAGCCTCAAATGAAGGGATCTGCCATCGGCTCCTTTTCTGGAGGAATGTGACTTTAGGACCAAGCAGTTGGATCAGGAAAGGGTTTGGGGACAGTGAAGAAAGGAACCCTACCAAGAACTGTGACATTGGCTGGGAAAGAGTGATCCAGGCCTTACCAGTGTCCCCTGGGCTGTGAGTCCCCCGAGTTCCAAGTCCACGGGTCTTCAGTGCCAAGCTCCAAGCCACTCTGGAGAGCATCTGGGGGAGGAGAGAGTACAGATGAGTTCTCCCCAACACTGCTCCGGGGCCAACAAATAGGATCAGACCCTGTCTTGGCTGGTGTGGTGGTGGAGGTTCCCTGGTTTTGAGATTACCCCTATGCCCCTGACCCTTCCAGTTGTATAACGGGGGACCTTAGACCTTTGCCGTACCCTCTCACAGTCCTCAATTCATCCTGTGAGAAGAGGAAGAGGTATAACTGGTGGGGTAGATCTGAACAATTTGGAACCTGGAGACCTGTGTTCTGATGAAGACCCCATTTCAGCCTGGCCAGGCTGGGGAGCTCCCTCAGTTGTCTGCCCCAAAAGGAAAGTGGGTGGGAGTTCAGGTAGGGAGAGCACAGGTCCTCAGGCCACCCCTCTACAGGGCCATCTGCCGAGGGCTCTGCGCAGATGGTCGGACACCCCCCTTCTCCCTAATTGCCTGCCTACGTGCGCACAGCCTGCTCGGCTGGATCTGGTGGGGGAGGTGACAGGCTGAGCCCCACCCCCACCCTGGGAAGTCTCAGGGTCTGGCAGTCCCTTGGGCTTCAAAGGCCAGGGACCAAAACTGGGTAGGAAAGAGGGCGAGAACAGAACATCTGGGGAGAAGAAGGGGCCATGCCACTTTTGGAAAAAGAAAGGGGCCATACATCTAGGGAGAGGAAGGGGCCCCACATATGAGGGGGAGGAAGAGATGCCCACACTAGGGAGCAGGGGCGCACATCATATGTGATAAGTGGAGGGGTGCCCTCACAGCTGAGAAGGATACATGGGGTGGGAGATCCCTGCACGTCGGGAGATGGTGATCTATGCTCGGGACAGAGGGTAATTTGCCAAAACCCCCGACCCTCCTCTGTTTCAGGGGCCTGACCCGGTGGCGAAGTCTGGTGTCCAAGTCGCGTCCCTCACCTACCCACCCGTCCGCCCGCGAGGGGTGCTGCACTGGGCAGCAGGGTCCTCCGTCCACTCACCTTGCCGGCTGGCCACCGCAGCAGGGCGACCCTGGTCAGCCAAGTGAGTAACTGAGAACCTACTGAGAAGGGACCTGAGCGCGGCCCCGCCCCCGGCCCGCCCCCGGCCCGCCCCCGCGTGGGAACGTCCTGTCTCGGCCGCCTGGGAGCGCCGGGTCCGAGCCCCTAGGGGCGCACCGGTCCACCGCCAGCGGGGAGGACTGCAGGGCCACTTTCGCCTTCATGTCCCCACCCACGGGGGTCCTGCCTCTGGCGACCCTCAGCTGACATCGGCCAGGTCCTGTGCACTGTGTCCTGCAGGCCCCTCTAGGTTGGATAGTCCCATATAGCAGGATGCCCCATTTGCTCTTTCCCAGGTCTTGCTGGGCTGGAGCTCGCCTGTGGGGTACTACCTCTCCCCGCCCCACAGAGGTGTTGAAAATCTCCTTCTGGCCTTCAAATCTTAGCTGTGTGACTCTCGACAAATAACCTAATCTCTCTGGGCTCCTGTTTTCTTTCCCGTGATTAGGAGGCTTACCGTTCGAAGCCAGCCCGGGCAAATAGTTTTCAGAGACCCTATCTCAAAAAACCTTTCACAAAAATAGGGCTGGTGGAGCGGATCAAGGTAAAGGCCCTGAGTTCAAGCCCCAGTACCGCAAAAAAATAAAATAAAATAATTTATTGAAGGGTTGGTGGAGTGGCTCAAGTGGTAGAGCACCTGCTTAAGCAAGAGTTGAGGCCCTAAATTCATCCCAGTACTGCCAAAAAAAAAAAAAAAAAAAGCCAAAAGAGTTGGGCATGGTGGCTCATGTTTATAATTCCAGCTACTCAGGAATCAGAGGCAGGAGGATGGAAAGTTTGAGGCCAACATAGACAAAAAAGAAGCGAGACCATCTTAGAAACAAAAGAGCTGGGGGCATAGGTCAAGTGGTAAAGTGTTAGTATGAGGAGTTCAATCCTCAGTACAGAAGGAAAAAAAGTGTTTTTTTGTTTTGTTGGTTGGGTGTTTTTTTTTTTTTTTTTTTTTTAAAGATTAAGACTTACTTCAGCTGGCATTTATTACCAAACTAAATGCTGGAGGATATGAGCCGAAGACCAGACAAAATTCCTGCCTTTGTAGGGCTTATGGTCCAGTTCCAGACAGGTTTGGACTATCTGATCCTCCTGCTTCAGCCTCCTGAGTACTGGAATTACAGGTGTTCACCGCTCCTCCCAGCTATGTCTTGAAACTTGTCAGTTTCCAGTGGGTGGGTGGTGCCTACACTGGAGTGAGTGACCTATGTGTGGGCTCTGCTTCTGCCATGCTGAGTGGCCAAGCAGCACAATTTCTGGGTCTCCCAGGGGAAGGCATTTGGAGAACACAACCCTCTGTTCCTTCCCTGCCCTTTCCCATCCTGCCTCTGTGGGAACTCCAGGCCCCAGATGTGGAGTGGTGCTGTGATAAGAAACATCTGTGTGAGGCCTGCCCCGAGGCTGATGGCTAGGAGGTGAAGGCTGCTCACCGTGGGCCTGGGGGAGCACTACCACGTGCAGGGCTCGTGCAGGGCGACTGTGGTGCATCTTCTGGAGGACCTGCACCTGGGAATAGATGGCCTCATCCATAAAGGGTCCTCCTACAAGGGCCCTGGGCCAGGGACTGAGTCTTCCCCAGAAACCCTAAAGTGGTATCCCATGGGCCCTTCACTGAGGTGATGACAGGCCGTGGAAACAGCAGGGATGGGAAGTGATCGCCAGGGGGTCCCCTACAGACAAGGGCAGCTTGCAGTTTCTTGGTCATCTCCAGAGAGCTGGAGATTCTGCCCAGACACGAGTACCAGATGGCACAACCGCGATCCAGGTACTCGGCTTTATGTAGGACCCACATCCAGCCTGCCAGGCTAGAGGGGATACTGAGGAACATCTAGGCACCATGCAGGACTTAAAGGCGAAAACAGGAAGAGGTGCCGGAGAAAGCGTCGCGGCCGAACTCCCAGCCCCTTCCAGGCAGTCCTGGAAGCGGGTTAAACGCGGACAGGGCGAGTCAGAGTAAGAGCGCAGAGCGCAGGAGTCTTTTGGCCCGGTGGGGTGGGGGCCAGGCAGGAGTGGGTGGGGCTGGTGCAAAGGGGCGGGGCCTGCGCTGTAGCGGACCACGAACCGAGAGCTAGGGAGGCGGGGCCATCTGGGTGAAAGGTGGGGCCAGCGAGCAGGGGGCGTGGCCAGGAGCGGCAGGGCGTGTTCTGCTCTGCAGCAGGAAGGCGGGCTTGGACACAGACTCCCCTGGGGCGTTGTCAGGATCCGGCCCCCAGGCCTGCCAGGTGCTGGGCCGCACAGGTTGGGAGGACATTGCTGGAAAACCAGCAGCTCCGCGGCCAGTCCAGAAAGCGCTGCTAAAACTGCGAATAAAATTGGGCGTGTTGGCGGCGCCTATTTGCCCAGCTGCTCGGGAGACAGGTGGGAGGATGATTTGAGCTCAGGCCAGCCTGGACAATACAGGGAAACACGTCTTTTAAAAAATTTTTTGAAATAGATCCAGACTCTCGGTGGCTCACATCTGTAATCCTAGCTACCTGGGGGGCTGAGATCGAGAAAACTGAGGATCAAGGCCAGCTTGGGCAAATAGTTCATGAGACCTCCATCTCCAGAGCAAGATGGACTGGAGAGGCGTGGCTCAAGTGGTAAAGTACCTCCTTTTCAAGTGTGAAGCCCTGAGTTCAAACCCCCAGTCCCACTAAAAATTTGAAAAAGTAAAATTGGACAGATAGGCTGAGTCAAAACCAACCAGGACTGACTCAGGAACAGCCATTCAGAGGGTGGGAGATGTCTTTGGCTGAATTTCACTGCACTGGACTGGACAGGTGATCTAGAGATGGAAACCCTCTTCAGCCTGTCTGATCTCTCTGTACCATCCCCTTCTCCCTCCCTTCCTGCCCAGAGCACACACACACAGGGTGCCAGTGGTCGAGTCAGCCGTGCACTGGTCCCTTCAGGTCCTGCCCTGGGGCTCCATCTGAAGCTACAATGGCCTGCAGCATCTACTCCAGATCTTCCTGGCCAAACTGGGGGAACTCAGGAAAGGACTGGCTCATGGGCATGGGGATGTGGTCCCAGATATGGGGCCAGTGCCTCGTGGCATTCTTGTGCCTTTATTAGCACCCACTGGCACCCCATAAACTCTATTCTGACAGTCAAGGTTCCCTCTGCCAAACCTTCCAAACTCAGTCCTTCATCAACCACTCCTCACCCACCACGCCCAGCCATGCTGGCATTTAGTTCTTAGAACACACCCACGACAGGATCTTTGTAACTCCTCTTTCCTCTGCTGAAATGCTTATATCTCAAGAGCAAAACATTTATTCCCATAACCTGTTTTCATGTGACACCACTTTACCTGGCTTCTCACCCATCTAAGCTAGCTAGATTTTACAAACTAGTTTATCAGTAATTGTGGCAAGTTGTATTTTCAAGAGAGACCCCCAACCACATCCCCAATGCCACCTGCTCATTTTTGCAGTGTGAGCCTGATATTTGTGATCTAGTGGTGGAATCTAGTTGTATTAAGCGGTAGAATACGGTAGAAGTAATACGATGTGACTTCTGAAGCTACATCATAAAGAGGATGTACTCAGTTGGGACACTCTTGAAGCTGTTTATTTTTTGTGGTGCCTGAGATTAAACCCAGGGGCTTGCACATGCTAGGCAAGCACTCTACCACTGGCCCTGTTGAGACACTCTTGGAACCCAGCCACCATGCTGTGAGGAAGCCACACTGGTCCATGTGGAGAGGTCATGTGTAGGCCCAGTCGAGGTGCTGGCCTATGGCCAACATCAGTTTGTAGTGAAGTGCACTACTGTTGTTTGGGTGCACATCTTGGAACATGTGTTGGAAACTTAACCCCAATGCCACAGAGTAGGAAGAGGGCCCTAATAGGGGGTGACTAAGCCATAAAAGTGGAGTGAATGGATTAATGCTGTTATCATGCTAGTGGGTTCCTAATAAAAGGCTGGACATAATGACAAATCCCAGCTAATCCTTGAGGAAGAAGGATCTCAAGTTCGAAGCCAGCTGGGGCAATATAGGAAGACCCTGTCTCAAAAGAAAGCCAAAACAAAACAAAGAAGAAAAGTTCAGCCCCTGTTGCTCTCTTGCCCTCCTTGCCCTTCTTTCACCATGACATGATGTAGCAAGACGACCCATGCCAGAGGCTGGCCTTCCCATCTTGGACTTCCCAGTCTCCACACTGTGAGCTGATAAATCACTGTTCATTATAGGTCGCCCAGCCTGTGGTATTTTGTTACAGCAGCAACACAAAATAAACTAAGATATATATCTCCAGATGATTCCAGCCTTGATCAAGTCCCTCCTAAACTGCCAAGTCTTCCCAGCTCAGGCCCCAGAAATCGCAGGGCCTGCTATGCCTTTCTGAGCTCCTGACCACACATGGGCATCAGACAGTTGTTCTCCTCACTAGGTTTTCAGGAAGTTTGTCATGCAGCAGCAGCAACTGTAAGGTAATGAAGTGCCATTTTGATTTCAACACACCTGCTTCTTCATCTGGCTCTCTGATGTGTCAGAACTTGGGGAAAAGAGTGTGGTATGTATTCACCACCCCCACCATTGTCCTCAATTTTCAGCTCAATGTCATCTCAGACAGACTTCCCCTGACTCCTATGAAAAGTGTGCTCCCTAACCTGTTTAGACTTATTTTCTTCCCAGCACTCTTCATTATTCAAAATTAACACACAAAGAAACCTACAGATGCCAGGCATTAGTGGTTCATGCTTGTAATCCTGGCTACTTGGGAGGCAGAGATCAGGAGGATCATGGTTTGAGGCCAGCCTGGGCAAATAGTTTGCAACCCTATATCTTGAAAATACCCAATACAAAAAAGGGCTAGTGGAGTGGCTCAAGTAGCAGAGTGCCTGCCTAGAAAGCATGAGGCCCTGAGTTCAAATCCCAGTACCACCAAAAGAAAAAGGGAAAAAAAGAGAGAAGGGCAAGCTAGCGGAGTGGTTCAAGAGGTAATGCACCTGCCTAGCAAGTGCAAGGTCCTGAGTTCAAACCCCAGTGCAGTCAAAA